CTAAACACAAACTTCAGTATCATAGAAAGAGAGAATGGTTTGGGTTGGAAAGGACTTTAAAGATCATCCAACTCCAACCCCTGCCATGGGCAGGGACACCTTCCACTACCCCAGCTTGCTCAGAGCTCCATCCAGCCTGGCCTTGGGCACTCCAGTGGAGATGTGAGCTCCCAAATGAGCCTCCAGACATTGATAAAATATTTATACGACACAGAATGAACACAATAATAGAAGGAAAGGCAGAAATGGCATCACCACAGGCCAGGTGTGGCTGTGCCCTGTGCTGGCTCAGTGACCCAGCTCCAGGTGGAGATGTGAGCTCCCAAATGAGCCTCCAGACATTAATAAAATATTTATACGGCACAAAATGAATACAGGAAAGGCAAGAAATGGCACCAGCACAGGCCAGGTTGTGAGCCAGCTCTGAAGCAGCTCCTGCTGCTCTGGGAATGTGCACAGAGCATCCTGGTGTGCTCCCTTTGTGCCACCCGGCCCCTCCATTATTTAGTGACACAGAACACTCCTGCAGCCAGGCAGGCACAGAATCCCCTCGGAGGCAGCTGAAAGGGGAGAACCTGGCCACAGAGAGCAGCTCAGGAGGGGAGCAGGCTCCCAGGGCAGGAGCTGGGACTGATGCTGTGCTCTGGAAATGCCAGCCCAGGGCTGTGACAGTGACAGCGGGGTGTGAGCGACTGCCTGGCTGCAAGCGCAGCAGAATAATGATAATAATTTTTAAAAATCAGGTTAAAAGTGCCGTTTCTTGCGGCGTCTCGCTGTGCAATCAGGGAGGTCACCACAGGAGGGAAGCAGCGTTTCACTTTTGTTGCTTTAGCAGCCAAGGTTCTTTTTTTCTATTTTAATGTATATTTTGATTAGCAGATCCTGCCTGATGTGACAAAGCAATAGATCATAGAGTCATGGGATGGTTTGGGTTGGAAGGGGCCTTAAAGATCACCTCATTCACCCCTGCCATGGGCAGGGACACCTTCCACCAGCCCAGGTTGCTCCAAGCCCCATCCAGCCTGGCTCTTGCAGTGGAATCCACCCCTTCCAGAGATTCCTACCACCATTGCTGTTGCTGCTCATTAAAAGTGATTTTTAGCCTTTTCAGTGACCCCTTTTCTCCAGCCATTGCAATCAAAACCTCAGAGCTTTGCAGAAACATTAAAGCAAGTGGAATCATGACTTTTCCTCCTGTTATTGACAGAGAGATAAAGAACCCAAGCAGTCCCCAGCAGTGGGTGTGGGGCTTTGCAGAGATCAGGAGAGAAACTCAACATTGCTCTTCACAGCGATAATCCAAGGGTGGAAATTCCCTCAGAGGCTCTAGATTCCCATGCTGGCATCCCCGCAGCAGAGCTGTGTGCCCGGGATCCAGGAGTGGGGTTTGTGCTCCTGGAGGGCACACAGAGCCCTCACTCTGCTCATTCCTGGCCAGTTTGGGATGTTCTGGTGGCTGCTGGGGCTCCTCAGCCACAGGAATTCCTCAGGGCAGTGTTCTCTCCTTGTGCATCCCAGGAGAACAAACCCTGCCTGCTTTCACATCATTTTGACACAGCTTTGCTGCCTCTGGGTGCTGGAGATTGCTACCGGCCACTTTGGGAAGGGATGGATCAGATGGGATTGGAATCAGCCTAAAAGCTGCTGGTGGAAAGTTTGGAATGGGAGCCAGCATTCCTAAAAACCACATCTGAACAGAAATGCTGTGCAGGGAAACCTCCAGCCTGTGGAAATGAGGCTACAGCCTCAGCAGCTTCCAGGAAGAGCCATGGGGAAATGAATCTGAAAATAGCAAATTGCTGAATCTCTTCAGAGCCTCTGAGGAGGAAAATGAGCAGTTGGACCCCAAGGTTCTTTCCTGCTCCTGCTTCCTGTGGGACCTTTGGTTGATAACCCCATCAGCCCTGTGTCCCCTTCCCATCTGTCAAAAGCAGAAATCTGGGAAGAATTTCACTTCCAATGTGGAGACTTTGATAGTGTTGTCCTGAGCAGCACTGCTAAAAACCAAACTGTGGATGCCTGAGAGAGAAGTTTCGGTGCTGATGCAATTTGTCAGCATCTCATCCTTGTTCCCACACAGAGCTGAATCATCAGAGAACAGAGATTTGTCACTCTGGATCATCATGTGATGGCAGAGCCCACCATCACCACCACCACCACCACCACCACCACCACTGAGAGCAAACAGAGAGAGCCCAGCTGGGAGAAAAACTGGCCAAGTGCGGAAAATATTTAATTATATAGGATTATAGAGGATTCTATAGGATTCTATGGGATTATATAGGGTTATAGAGGGTTGTATAGGGTTATATAGGGTTATAGAAGGTTATAGAGGGTTATATAGGATTATATGGGGAATAACGTGACAATCACAGAGCCATGGAATGGCTTGGGTTGGAAGGGGCTTTAAAGATCATCCAGTTCCAATCCCTTTGCCATGACAGGGACAGTTTCCACTGTCCCAGGTGGCTCCAAGCCCTGTCCAGCCTGGCCTTGGGCACTGCCAGGGATCCAGAGGCAGCCAGAACTTTTCTGGGCACCTGTGCCAGGGCCTGCTCACCTTCACAATTTCTTCCCAATATCCCATCCATCTCTGCCCTCTGTTAATGTGAAACCATTCCCCCTTGTCCTGTCACTCTATCTCTTGGAAATTGTCTCTCTCCATCTTTCCTGCAGCCCCTTCAGGCACTGTGAGGCCACAATTGTGTCACCCCAAAGCTCCTCCTGTCCAGGTGAACAACCCCAGCTCTCTCAGCAGCGCTGCTCCATCCCTCTGCTCCAACACAGTGCACGTGGATCTCCTCAGTGATTTTTACACAAACTCCCTCCTTCTGGTGCTCCCAGGACAGCACAGCCCAGCAGGGTTTGTGCCACAATAAAATCTGCCAGCTGTTGGCACTGTAGGGTTTGTGACCCCCAAATAATCCCAACCACACAGGGCAGTGGTACCTCCATGGCACAGTGCATCTGTGACACCCTTTAATAGTGAAAAGTCACTTTTGGTGTTCAAAGTTTTACATCCCACGCACTGCAGGCAGTTAGCAAGTCATAAAGAGCAAGAATTAATTAATTAATCCTGGCCATACCCCCAAGAGATGTGCAGACAACACTGAGCTACTGACACAAACACAGCAGCCAAGGTTACTGACTTGTCCAAGCCCGCCGTGGGTTTGGAGCAGAGCTGAGATTGAGGTGCAGAAATTGATTGCAAAGCTCAGGGAAACTGATTTTGAGGAGGAATAACCTTCAAAATAAACAAACATTTAGAAAAAAATGTTTGTTTTTAATTCAGTACTTTGTTAGTACATCCTGATCCGTGGGGTCAGGGTGTAAATATTCATTTTGGCCCATCCTGAGGGTTTGTATGCGCACAAAAATGTACATATGATAAATATGTGCTCCATACAATGTGAGAGAGAACAACGAGGTGTCCAGCGAGAGAGTTCAGCCCCAAACAGGCAGAATAACAAGCTCTGCTGTGTTTTTCCAAGGCTCCACCAGCAGACTTTCCCACGCCAGCCCACAGCCCTGCAGTCGCCCTACTCTGGAGCAGAGTCACGTTGGGTTCCACCAGCTTTGGGGTCTCACTGGGCACCAGATACCCAGATATCCTCCCAAGGGAATGTGCACCCCTAGGGCCTCCCCACAATCCATGATTCCCTGCAAATTTATGTGCTCTGATGAAAAATCCTCACAGCAACACCTACTTCTAGGACAATTTGCAACTGCCTTCCAAATTTTTGAATTTTGAATTTTGCCTTCCTCCTTACAGTTTTGAATAAATAATATTGAATCCCTCCCCCTCAGCCTGACATATCTCAGGAATGGGATGCTCAGGGAGTTTTGGAGTGCCCGTCCCTGGAGGTGTCACCTGGAGGTGGCACTCAGTGCTCTGGGGACAAGGTGGGCATCGGGCACAGGTGGCACTCTGAGGTCTTGGAGCTCTTTTCCAACCTGATTTTGTGATTCTGCAATATCTTTGATCATACAGTGGATATATGGGCAAACTCCCTCGTGGCCCTCAGATAAAATCTGAAAGTAAAACAACTGAGCTCTGTGGGGCTCCTTGATCTGGTTTAAATGTCTGCACAGACAAGGAGTTTTTGCTTTTGTTGTAATTAGTGGGCATGTGCTCAGACTCTAATCATTGTTCTTTAGGCTTTCTTAGCAGGCCTGACCTTCCCATTTGGACCCAATAAAGAAGATGAGCTCTGTGCCTTTTTGTTCTCAGATGACAAAGTGCTCGGCATTTGGCACTCAGCTTATCTCATCCGTTTGGGATTTTAATTATCAACACAAGAGCCTTCCCAAAGGCTGGCTGGGCTTTGGGCATGAAGATTATGTAGGGAAATTAATGGCAGAAAAACGCCTTTGTCCATCAGTTCTTTTCACTCTGGAGACTAGAAACTCTACAAACAGCTCTGCTATTTTAATTCCAAAAAACACATTTGCAATGTCATCTCTATGGAGGAAAAATATGCTCAGCTTGAGTTTTGTTTTATGCTGCTCTGTGTACAAGAACATGGAGCTGCCGTGTTTGCAGAGCGTGCGGGGAACCCAGAGCACAGTCTGTTACCAGGCTTTATTTTTTGCACTGTCTGCTCCCATTTTTTCAGTGCTCTGACTTATTGCTGATTACTCCAAGGCTCTCCAGTGCATCTGATAGTGCAGGAACTGTAACTCCTCAATCCCAGGCTGGGATGGCTGCTGAAATGAGATAACCCAGCCAGGCATTGAGAGCACAAGAGTTGAACTTTTCTTCTCAGAGAACTGAAGGCTGCTTGGTCAGATTGACCAAAAGCACTGAGTTTTTATTATGCTTAGTTTTTATTTCAAACTGGCAGTCTGATAACACAGGGGTGGGTGGCTGGGTAGTGGGGCAGGGATTTATCTAAGTGTGGCCTTTCTCTTCATGTGCAGAGAAAAATCACAGAATCACAGAACGGTTTGGATTGGGAGGGACCTTACGGATCCTCTTGTTCCCTGGGCAGAGACACCTTTCAGTAGAGCGAGATGCTCAGAGCTCCATCCTTGAACACCTCAGGGGTGGGGCAGAGCACAGCAGGGCACGGGGGAGCCGCGGGCTGTACAGTGAGAGGGGAATAAACAGTGAGCAGGGAATAAACCCAGTGATCAGGGAATAAACACAGGGAAAAGGGAATAAACACGGCCCGGCCCCCAGGGCCGCGGGACCCGCCCGGGCTGGGGGCTCGGGGCTGGCCCCGCATCCCGGTGCCGGTGCCGGGCTGGTCCCAAGGGCGGTACTGGGGCGGTCCCGATGTCGGTGTCGATGTCGGGGCGGTCCCGATCCTGGTGCCAGGGTCGGTGTTGGTGCCGGTGCCGGGGCAGTCCCACGGGCCAGAAAAGGTCCCGGTGTCGGTGCCGGGGCGGTCCCGGTATCGGTCCCAGTCCCGGTCCATGCCAGTCCCGGGGCGATCTCGGGGCGGTGCGGGTCTCGGTGCGGTCTCGGTCCCAGTCCCGGTCCCGGCGCCAGTCCCGGTCCCTGCGGGTGCCGGGGCGGTCCCGGTGCCGGGGCGGTGCCAGGCCGGGCGCAGGCCGCGCCCCGGGGGCGGCGTTGCGGAGCGGGGAGGCGGCTCCGGAGCCATCGCGCCTGCCCGGCCGGCGGCGGAGCTCGGTGCAGGGGAGGGGGGCGGGGGGCGGCTCGGCGGCGGGTCTGCGGGCCCCATGGGCGGGTGTGTGGGCTCCCACCACGACTCCTCGGGCAGCCTCAACGAGAACTCGGACGGCACCGGAGGTGAGCGCTGCGGGCCGGCCCGGGGGGCCCGCGGGGGGACCCCGGGGCGGGCGCTGCGGGCCGGGGCCTGCGGCGGGCGGGGGAGCCGCGTCCGGCCCCGGCCCGGATCGTGCCCGGGGCCATCCCCCGGCTTCTCTGCCTCGTTCGCCCGAAGTTTGCCGGGCCGGCGGCGCTCGGCGGGCGCTGCCCCGGGGCTCAGCCCCCGCCCCGCTCCGCGGCCCCGGCGTGCGGGGCTGTACCGGGGGATGGCCCGGGCTGTGCCCACCGGGGCCTCACCGGGGGCTGTACCGGGGCCATACCGGACTGTGTCCACCGGGGGCTGTGCCGGGGGCTCCGGGGCCGGGCCATACCGGAGCGGTGTCGGGGCTGTCTCGCCGGGCAGTGCCGGGGGGCTCAGGGACGCGGCCCCTGCTGAAATGAAGCCCGGCTGGGGAAAGGCCCTGCCCGGGGCTCCCGAAGTTTGTTTTCCTCGGGCTCCGCTCCTTGCGGTGTGCGGGCAATGATTCCCCGGCTCACTGAGATCCTGGCAGTGCTGCGGGGCCCGGGGTTATTTTCCAGCCGGGAGAGGTGCCTGGCTCCAGCCCCAGCCGCCCGCGGGACCGGAGCGGTAGGACATGCTGCATGGATGGATGCATGGATGGATGGAGCAGCGTGGTCCCTGCGAGCGCAGCCCCACCTGGGCAGCAAAGCCAGCGTGCAAACGCTGCTGCAGTGTCAGCAGCCTTTCACCGGCGGGTTTCTCTCCAGCTAAATGCCTGAATGAATGCTTTTTCAACCCTCTCAGGTTTGTGGACCCCTGATGTTCTCCAGCTGAGCTGTGTGTGTTTTATAGTCATTTAAAGTCAGCCTACCAACAGGACACTTGACTTACAGGTAGTCCTCACACATGCAGGGTTCAGATTTCAGGAGGAGAATTGCTGATCTAGGTCTGTGTTTTGCCCTGCGTTTTACAGAATGTTATCTATCAGTCTGTTTTTTATTTCGGATGTCCCAGCTGATGGGTGTTCTTTCCATCAGTGCCTTTGCTGTCGTTCCGTAATGTAAAAATATGCAGCACTTGGAGTTGTATCTGAACCAACCATCTGCTGGTTCATGCCAGATACAGAGTTCATGGAAATACCAGAATTCCAGCTGCTAGGAGCTGTGTGGGATTTCACAGAATTCCAGAATAATTAGGGTTGAGGACTCCAATAGTTGGGGAGTGACCTCTGGAGATCATCCAGACCAACCCCCCTACTGAGGCAGGGTCATCCAGAGCAGGTGACAGAGGGACACATCCAGGTGGGTTTGGAATGTCTGCAGAGAGGGAGGCTCCACAACCTCCTGAGGATTTAATCACATCAGCGTCATTGAAAGGAATTTTATAGCTTTGAGTAGTGTGAGTCTTCCATACTCTATTAGTAAAAAGAGAAGGAGTGGGTTACCTAAAATGCATCTGTACTGAGCGCATTTACCAACCAGTAAAAACCTGCAGGTGTGCTGAGCAGATTGGACCAGTCAAAGGAAAAGAACAGCAGGAATCATCACATACCCCAAAATCTTAACCAAAAAATAGCATTAAAAGCTCCACTGAGATGTGCTTTGGTGTTATGAGGTGAGATCATGTCACAGAAATAGGCTGGGTTTAATTTCCTTGCTCTTATCTCACCGGTGATATCGAATGAATGAGATAGGAGAAGAACACGATCAGGCTCTGGGTGATATTGTAAAACAGATTCCACGCCCCAGAGCAGCGTGTGAGGTGGGCAGGCTCCATCCATGCAGGCTCTCTGTGTCCCTGCCTGGTGCTCCCAGGGCATGGCACTCTGCTGCTCTGGGGTTAAATAACCCATTGTGCCTGCTGCATTACAACAGCAGCTGGGCTTCCAAGATGTAAGAGATGTGAAATTCGTGTCAGCTGGCTCGTGTTGATTCATGCTCTCAGGGTAATGTTCCTTAAGGTTGTCTCGCCGAAGTGAGAAGCGCTGAAATTTCACTTGAATTATGAGCTTCTTAGGACTGTCTTAAACAATCAGCTCCAGTGTGCAATAGCCTGTTTTGTAATGCTACAGATCTGTTCCTGCCTCTGCACAAGGAGGAAAGGGGGGGTAGGTTAAGCTGGGGGAAGCTCTGAGTGTCTCCCCTAAATGTGACTCCCCAGGTGCCAAAGTCCAGCCCGCGCTGATTCCGGGCTTTACGGATTCTGCCAGCGTGCCCTCAGCAAGGCTGAAACCTGGCTTGCTCTCTCCAGGGAGCTTCTGTCTGGAGGCATCAGGCAGTGAAGCAGCTGAAGCAGAAGTGAGCACGGTTTGGAGCTCAGACCTGTGCAGAGAGATGACTTTTTCCTGTTCCCCAATGAGGCTCATTTCCTCCGGCTCGGGGGTTGTGACCTCGCCCGCTACATTCGCTTTCAGATCGCTGTCGGTGAGCGGGGCCAGAACGTTTCGAAATCCTGGGAAGGTGTTTTGGAACATGATGATTCTAGCTTGCCAGTGATGGACTTGTTTTGGAGAGGCTTTGTCTTTTCCCCAGAATGGAAAAGTTTCCTGGAGAATTGCGGGCGCCCAAGAGCTTGATTAGCCAACAGCGGCTGTGTGCGATGCTGGGTGAGAGCAGAGCCAGCTCTCGAGTCTGATTCATCCCAGTTTCAATTTATTCCAGGGCAGTGGGGAGTGGTAAAATCGTGCTCAATTGTGTTATTGGAGTTGAGAGGAGGATTTGTCACATCCCTGTATTCTCCTCAGTGTTTTTGTCCATGGCCAGCACTTCCCGTTGCTCGTGTGCAGCTTGGCAGAGCTGACGGCATGTCCTGGCCACGTGTGCTGCTTTTGTCTCTTCCTGTGGGCATTTTTCAAGGTCAGGATGTGCCTGTGTGTGTGTCAGGAGCGCTGGTGTGGATCCTCAGGTGCGCCTGCATGTGTGAGATGGAGCTAATCAAAAGGCCAGCTCATTGCACAGCTCTGTTTGCAGTGACCGGAGCAGGAGGAGGCTGTTCCTCACCAAGAATTTAACAGATGCTGCTCTGCCCATCGGGCTGGAAATGAAATGTGCTTTGCAGATTGGTACCAGCTGTTTCATTAGCGCTGCTCTTTTTAGCAAGTTCTCATTTCACCAGGACATTGTTTGGCATAGACAGGAAAAGTTCCTGCCTCGATGCTCGGTGTGTTGTAGCCCAGCAGCACCAAACTGTCATGGGTGGCCTGGGTGGATTTATTGGGGAGTCATTAAAGGACATCATTAATTGGGTTATAGACACAGGTTTTTATCCCTTTAGCTCAGCTCCACCCAACAGCCCAAGGTTTCAGGAGCTGAGCACTGCATCCCTGCCAAAGGTGAGTTCCTGCAGGATGGTGAGAGCAGGGAGGAATAACTGTTCTGCAGCCACTCCCCAGCTGTGTGACCTCTTCACTTGTGCTTCTGGCATTGCTTTGGGCTTGGAATGAACTGCTGGAAAACTCTGCCCCTGTGCCTGTACATCAGGTATGTTCAGTTGAGCAAAACCAGCAGAGCTGTGCCAGCTCCCACCCCACAGGCCAGTCCTTCTGGAGGGCTCCTCAATTTCTTTTTGAGAAGGAAAAGGAGGAACCTGTTCATTCTCTCGTGGCAGCTCTCACCCCTCTCAGAAGCTGCATGTTATTTTGTCTGACGTGGTGAATTCAGTGAGACTGTGACTCGTGTGGGGTGAGGGAAAAGCAGGGAATGCAGTGGCTGGGAGCAGGAGTCATTCCAGATTAGGGATTTTGGCTGCAGCTGTCTGATTGCTGCTGAGCTCTCCTTGACACGATGCTCTCCTGCCTGCTGCAGTTCTTGTCACCCTTCCTCGGGAGCAAAGATGCTGATTCTGTTTGAAATTTGTCTTCTTTCCTGCTGCCCCCATCACCCAGCAGTGACAACAGGGCCAAGTGGAAATAAGGCTGCCAGAATGGGAGATTATTCCAACTCTCAATTCCTCCCGTGGAGTTTGATGCAGTGCTGGAGCTTCATTAACTCAGAGAAAGGCAAATATTGTGCTCCACCTCTGCTCTCAGCAACTGGACAACAGTTTCTTAAATATTTTCCTTGAGTGCTGTGCAGGGCTGCGTATCACATGGCTAATTGGAAGTCACAATAAGTGCTTTCATGGTGCTTCTCTGCAAGACTGACCAGGGGAATTTGCATATTAAGCAGTGAGATTTGTGGCTCACAATTGCACTGATACAGCCGGGCTCTGCTTGGCTGGCACGGGGGGTTAAACAAGCAGCTCATGACTGAGCACTTAAGAGCATTTGGTGCCTCCCTTTTGTGCTGGAGCTCACAAAGACTCTCCCAGAGGGATTTTTCAGTGGGTTGGAGCTGTTGGGTGCAGGCTGGGATGGTTTTTCACTGCCATCTGAAAGAGGCACCTCTGGATTTCAGGTAGTTCCTGCTGGTCTGGCATAAAGGGCTGGCAAAAATATTCAGAAATCAGAGCTGGCTTTTGCTGTTAGGTCCTAATGGGGGGGTGTTTTGTATGGTTTGTTTTGGGTTTTTTTTAAATGGAATAACCAAAAAAGCTTATTATGAATGAAATTTGCTCCGAATCCTTCCTGCTCTGTGCCTGGGTGTATTTAAAGGATGTGTAGATGGAACACCTGGGGATGTGGTTTAGAGGTGGCAGTGATGGGTTAATGATGATCCTAAAGGTCTTTTCCAACCTAAACAGTGTCTGATTTCCACAAGGGATTTTAGCAGGGTTTTGGAATAAAAGTAGCCTTTAATAACTCTTATTTCCCAAGGGCTGGGCGCCCACAGCCTCCTGGAGGTGATTATGGTCTGGGAATGGGTGCTGCCACCCCCTGATAATTCAGTCCCAGGTGTTCCTGTCCTGGCTGTCACTCTGCTGCTGTGACACCTTTCATTTGTAAGCTACAGGACTGGGTTTTGTTTTCCAGGTGATAACAGGGAGCTCTCAGAAACCCAAATAAAGTGTTATTT